CAAAAAAAATATTATCACAGAAATAAAACAAGGAATTTAAAAACTTTGAAGATGATTTAAAAATTGATTTAAAATGAATGTAAGACAGTTTAAAAATAGAAAATGATTATACATACATAAAATACAGTGCAATCAGTTCGGACATCGCACAGTGCTCATTCAATAAATGCACAGCTAAACAGATGAGTTTTGAGTCTAGATTTGAATGTGACTAATGTTTTGATTTTTAGTTGTTTGACCCCCAGAGTCAAGGTATGCATTCATCTTGAGAACTTCATCTTTGTTTCCAAATGCAATGACTTCAGTTTTCTCCTGGTTTAACTGAAGAAAATTTTGGCACATCCAACTGTTTATTTCATCAATGCTTTGGCAGAGGGAGTCAATGGGGCTGTAGTCATTTGGTTATAAGGCTAGGTAAATCTAGGTATCATCAGCATAGCTGTGATAGGCAATTTGGTTCTTTCTCATTATTTCATCATTCTTTCTCCTAATGTCCCAAGAAACTACCATGCTTTCAAAATGAGGATAAAATTAGTCAATTTTCTGTATAAAGAGCCGATACAGTACATACACATACACATACACATATACATATACATTATACATATAGAGTCAGGTCTGGAAGTATTCAGACTCTGACAGAGTTTTTGCCTTTATACACCACTACAATGGATTTGAAATCAAACAATCAAGATGAAATTGAAGTGCATACTTAATTCAAGTGGTTGAACAAAAATATAACATAAAATGCTTAGGAATTACAACCATTTTTATACACAGACCCCCCTGTTTTCAGGAGCTCAAATGTAATTGGACAAATAAATGTAATCATAAATAAAATGTTCATTTTTTATATTTTGTTGAGAATACTTTGCAGGCAATGACAGCCTTAAGTCTGGAGCTCATGGACATCACAAAAGATTTGGTTTCCTCTTTTGTGATGCTTTGCCAGGCCTTTACTGCAGCTGACTTCAGTTGTTGTTTTTTTGTTGTTCTTTGGTTTTGTCTTCAGTAAGTGAAACACATGCTCAATCGGGTTGAAATCAGGAGATTGACTTGGCCATTGCAGAATATTCCACTTTTTTATCTTCAAAAACTCCTGGGTTGCTTTTGCTGTATGTTTTGGGTCATCATTTATTTGTACTATGAAGCGCCGTTCAATCAACTTTGCTGTATTTGACTGAATCTGGGCAGAGAGTATATCTCTATACACTTCAGAATTCATCCGGCTGCTTCTGTCACGTCATCAATAAACACCAGTAACCCAGTGCCACTAGAAAGCCATGCATGCTCATGCATCACACTGCTCCACATGTTTCACAGATGATGTATGCTTTGGATCATGAGCTGTTCCAAGCCTTCTCCATACTTTTTTCTTCCCGTCATTCTGGTACAGGTTGATCTTAACCTGTACCAGGTTGATTCCTTAACCTTTCCTCCAATTTTAATGAGAATACCCTCAAAAAGCTCAGAGTCTTCTTTCTTCCCGCCATTCTGGTACAGGTTGATCTTTTTTAGATTTTTTTTTGGCAAAGTCTAATCTGGCCTTGTTTGCACCTTGTGGTAAACCCTCTGTATTTGCTCTCTGTGGTCTTCTCTTGATTGTAGACTTTGACAGTGACACATCTACCTCCTGGAGAGTGTTCTTCACTTGGCTGGATGTTGTTAAAGGGTTTTTCTTTACCATGGAGAGGATTCTCCGATCATCCATCACTGTTGTCCTCCGTAGACGTCCAGGTCTTTTTATGTTGCCGAGCTCACCAGTGCGTTCTTTTTTCTCAGAAGGTACTAAACTGTTGATTTGGTCATTCCTAATGTTCCTGCTATCTCTCTGATGGATTTGTTTTGTTTTTGAAGCCTAACAATCGTCTGTTTCACTTGTATGAAAAGATCCTTTGACTGCATGATGTGGGTTCACAGCAACAGCTTCCAAATGCAAATGGCACACTTAGAATCAACTCCAGACCTTTTATCTGCTTAATTGATGTAGAGATAACGAAGGCATAGCCCGCATCTGTCCATAAAACAGCTTTTGAGTCAACTGTCCAATTACTTATGGTCCCTTGAAAAAGGGGGGAGGTACATATTAAAGAGCTGCAATTCCTTAACCTCCAATTTTGATGAGAATACCTTCAAATTAAAGCTCAGAGTGTGCACTTTAATTCCATATTTATATAACTGTAACTACTTGAATATGTTTTTGCTAAAATAATAAAAATTGTGCCTGTGTCCAAATATATGTATATTATACATATACTCATATTTATTATCCTGTGGAACAGGAAGTCATGGCTGGGCAATCATGCTCATAGTCATCCTGTTGTGCTAAAAATATAAACATGAATGGGAATATTCTTCAGAGATATTTTGCTCATAAGAATTTCTAGGGGTGCCAATAATTGTGGCCAACATGCATAGGTGAAACACTTTTATTTCATCATGAGATTTCTTAACTTTCAATTGTTTTACTTCAATGATACAGTAGAATTTTGTGAATTTTTGGAATGAAAGATCAAATGGATAAACGATGCAGATTTATTTTCACAGCCGCCTTTGCTCATATTTACCAAGGGTGCCAATATTAGTGGAGGGCACTGTAACAACACACAACTGTGTCCCTTTTCATGGTCGCATTTCATATTTTATGTCAATCATCTGTATTATTATACTTTACTACAATTTTAGTTCATCCAGATTTCACAAATCTATGTAAATATATTTGTTTCTTATTACAGGTGTTCTGTAGTTTTTGTTTTTTTCACAGTAGCATTTTAGGAAAAAAATATTTTACTTCAAATGGCCTTTGCACCCTATCATAGAGAACAGCATGTGTAAGGTCATAAATCTTTTCAAATATTTTAGGTGAAATGTTATCCAGATTTTCAAAATAAATTAATAAATGAACGAACAAATTAATTAACAAACAAACAAACAAAATAAGGCTGCATAATAAACTGAAAGGTGATTTTTTTTGTTCAGTTTGATTGATATTCTTGACATTGGAGCTTTAACAGATTACATTATCCCCCCCCCAAAAAAAAAAAAACCTCCTTTTGGTCCAGAGGTTTAAAGAGTACCTGAAATCCATTCTTGAGTACAAGTACAGAAAGAATGACTCCATTACAAATTACAAGTCACCAATTTAAACACAACTTGAGTAAAAGTCTTATAGTATCTGATTTTACCAGTACTTAAGTATTTTATTCATACTGAACAGGCTCAAAGATGCACTAGTTCTTAATACCTAAGAGAAATGCCAGTGAAAAACAAGAAACAGTTGATTTAATAGAAGAGCAATCACATATTTATTTTCTAAAATCCATATAAAACTGAACACCTCAAAATTGCGATAAATCAAGGTTGACACAACAGCCTCTTAAATGTCTACAAACACTGAAGTCTCACTTAAGCTCAAGTACTCAAAAATTGCATAAGTAAACCAATATTCTTCAAAAAAGGCCTCAGCCATGTCCTCATACCATTTATGAAACACCTGCGATTCACAACTACCAGCTAATGCATTCACATTTGTGTAAAGTAGCCTTGTTGACAAGTGTCAGTCTGTGAGAGCAAAACACACAGACATAAGACCTTCAAAGTTCTGTAGATGGCGGTTTCACATCTTCTGTAGCTGAAATAAACTTCTGGAGAAAAAGTTAGGTGTCATGCAAAATGTAATGAAATTACTCATTACAAATGTATTGATGAGTACATATACATATTCAAAAGCGCAGTCAACTAGAGAGTAAAAGTTGCTAATATCTTTGATACTCAGTACAATTACAAAGTAGCCAAAAATATACTCAAGTACAACAACTACATTTTCACTAAATTTACTCCAATACTTTACACCACTGATATAGTCTGTATAGTCTACTGATATAATTGATATAACTGCATAGCCTATCATATGTTTAATGTACAATCATTAGTAAAATAGCAAAGTAAACCCATTCAGGCTGATACAAGATCCTGATCTCCCTTTAAAATTGTACTGATGATGGCTGGCTGTATATTATCCTTTACTTAACCAATGTGAGATTTTTTTTTTTTTCAGCACTATGGGCGGTGTTTTTTTTTTTGGTATGCTTTCCATGTAAATGTTCACACTTCTGTTGCACAAAAATAAAAATAAAAGTGTACCGCATTTCTCAGGAGAAGGTCAAACTGGTTGTTGTCCAGCCTGAAGCGAGACAGATACCTGTTGTCATGGTGCTCCAGTTTTTCAACTAATTTAAATTCACTAGGAGCATCCAGAGATAGTAAAGTTCAATGTTCGACGTTGCCATTTTTCTTCCTGCAATTTATCAAAGCCTTCACCACAACGTTTATTCGGTTCCAAGCTCATATACATGATTCAACGGTTTACTTTGTACACTTACTGCCTTCTCGTCAACAGTTTGACAAATTCAGACTGATTACATGCTCACATTCAAGCAGGTGTCACCCCTAGGGTATATCATAATAGCCTTCTCTTCCGCTCTAAGAAAAACTACAGCATCCAAGACAAGTACAAATTAAGTGCTTTAAAATCTTTCAGGGATATTTCACATATTAACTAGAGCAAACACAACCAGACTGTTGTATGTATATGGGAACTGTCCATAGTGCTGAAATACACTCTTAGTACTGTATGAAGGAATTTAAAGTGGCACTTGTTGTTTCTAGGTCACTCTGTGCCTTAGGCAAGGTAAGAAATTACTAAAAATAAATCCAAATAAAATAAACATGCAAAGTATAGTAGGGTTATGGTTGTTAAGTTGTTGGCTACAGTTCACTTAATGGCCACCGGTGTCGCTAATAACAAGAGTTTCTGATTTCTACATACAGCCCCTTTAACAATATGTAATACATTGTGTATCTGAGCACATTTCAATGTCAGTGTCAAAACAATGCAACTGAAGCACACCTCTGCACTGGTCATCAGATCATAAATAGTACCAAAGCAAATGTTTGGCTTCTGAATATTAATAAGGTAAGAGCATTATCAAGAGACTCACCCCTGCAGTTCTTTGACTGAGAGTGATATCTTGAGGTTATGTCCCAGCACATGAAGGGTGGTCAGGATGTCTGCCCATTGGACCATCTCTCCGAGCGGGCCACCCTTCAACACTTTTGGACTGAACACATCACCGGATTCCTCTGTCAGAAAGCCCACATGCACCAGGATCTGAAAGGAGGGGGAAAAGAGGTTCAGAATAACATATTACTATATTACTCATAACACATAATACTATTTCTGAAGAATAGTATGTCTACTGTGCACATTATACTAAACATCTGTAAGCACAGAATTATAACCTACTAAATTTACCAAAATAGACAATTTGTTTCCAGTGGGATAAATTAATTATAATATACTAATTTTACAAAAAAAAGCTACCCGTCAATAATAAGTCAAGTAGCAGTTTTGACTATCCACAGCCTTAATACGAGTACATACCAACTAGATAAAGACTTAGCCAGACAAAGCTAGGATTTAAAGGATTACATTTCTCATGATGTTGTTTGTATCACAATTTCAGTTCAGTTTGGTAAATACTTGGCATGTCATTATTAAGAAAATTTGTTTTATTAGTATCTTATATTTATTTTTCAAAGCATTAAGCTGTTGTGCAAAATGCACCACACTGTAAACTGAAACTGTAAACTTACTGATATTTCAGAGGTGTTAATATACTTGAGTACCAAACTGTTTTATTATTATTTTTTTTTTATTATTGTTAAGGGAACCATTTCACTCAGTCTCTAAAGAAATGTCTGATATAGGAGATACAAAGCGGACCAGTGGCAAAACAAAATACAATAAAAAAATCAGGGCTTTTAAGTATAATGGCAAAAAAAATAAAAATCAGGGTTTTTAAGTATAAAGGCATGGTCAAAAGAAAAAACTTTATTATTTGGATTTACAGTTCTTCCAGTCACCACAAAATGTTGATAACATTTGCCCTTTTGACTAAAAAACATATTTTTCTAAATTTCAAATGAGTAGCTGCACTCAACCTACATATATGAAAGAATAAAAACATATACTGCTAAGTGTCTATTCCTGACATCAGTATGAATTTACTTTAGTATTGCAATCTTTTCTGATATAAAGAATAGATACGACCCTCCAAAAAGAACGAAAGATTACGTTAAAGCTGTGTTCTTACAGAAGTCTGTATGAATACTACAGGAAAAGAAGAAAAAAAAAAGCTCCAAATAACGTATGAGCTTGTACAGAGATGTAGGTGAGGCACTGTGAGACCACGAGAACGGATAATTTTTTTTAGGAGTAACATCAATACAACTGCTCCGATACACTGAATATAGCAACAATAGCCAGCTAGTGAAGCGAGAAATATAATGTAACATGCACTCTATAGTTTGTTATACTAATATATATATATACAGTGGGTACGGAAAGTATTCAGACCCCCTTAAATTGTTTAATGCTTTTTTAATTTCATGTTCACAGGAAATATTACTATTTCATGATTTCATGGTGCTTTCTAAAGACTTCAAAAGATATAATTCATGAGATAAAGTCTATTTATAGTTTTTTTTTAACAGAAAGAAATAAAAAAAAAAATCTGCAAATATTCTGTATAAAACAATTAAAATAAATAATAAAAAATAAAGTTATCAAAAACTTTTAAAAATTTGCTTTAGTTTAATATCAATATAAAAGTCAGTGATTTCCTTTTGTAAACATTTATTTAATTTTGTTGCCATTATAATGTTACTCTTAATAGTATTTTATTTTTATTTTTGTATGAGAATATTCTATAGTGTCTTTATATTTTATGAAGAGTGCTTTGTAAAGGTATCACCATATTCGGGGATGAATATCTCTGTAACCCTCCACCTCCCCTAGCTCCACCTGTCTAGATCTGTTACAACATTTTTGTATGCCTATTCATGCAGCAACAGTATACTTTGTATGTTTATCTATTGGCAGCAGGAGGGTTCTGTCATTGATGAGTCTAACTGAATGGTGGTGAATTGCAAAGTTGGCTGTGAAGACGAGGGCTAGATTGAGTTCAGCTAAATGAGGACTGCTACAAACTAAAGTGATTTTTAGGAGGCAGAAACACATTAAAAGTACAGCATATTTTCAGTAGAAGCCACATTATTCTTAACTTATTTTTGTTTGGCCACATAAAACATGTCACTGAATGTGAAGAAATGAAAATTATACAGTTGCCCGCCTTAATGTTTAATTGAGGGCAAGTCACTGACAGGTTTAATGGATCAGCACTAATCGGCAGCAGTCTGTGGCTAAATTTTGCTGTTTGTTTTCTTTCTCTTCATTTATTCTTATTTTTACCTATTCATCCTTCAATATACTATCTTTGCATATGTAAACCAGCCATGTGTGATTGAATTGTATAATTTCTGTTTGTTAGTTTTTTATTGAACAGTAATATCAGAGGCTGTGCTAAAAGATTCAGAGGCCTGAATCAAACAGGGCATTGTTTTATTCGTATTTAATCACACAGTCTTTACTGTTCAAATGTTTGACTGAAAAAGCTGAACTGAGTGTCTATAAGCAAATAATCTTTTCACCTACCAGATGCTTTTTTTTGTATGTATAAAGACAATGATAGTGCATTTTTAGTTTTATGGGGAAAGCAGTTCATTTACTGAACTTACAGATGGACTACTATTTTCATCTAGAGGGTTTATTGAGTGAATGTCATTGAAAGTACCTTAAATGAGTAATGCAGCTCTCCAATATTTCAAGGTATTTCAGAATGATTCATGAAGCTCATCGTCTTATCCTAGGTGGGGTTTTTTTCCCCCCAGCCATTAACAAGCATTGTTTGCATGGTGCAAAAGTATGAAAGAGTTGCATGGCACTATCTCAGCATCACAAACTACCATAACACTCAAATGTGATTATTTTTCTACCATTGCTTTAGAATATGTATTTAAAGCAATATTCATCACAGATTAATTAAATTACAGACACATGACGAGTATATTTGGAGATAGTGAGCTAACAGAAAAGTGATTTTTTTCCCTCTGAAACTGAATGATGGAATATCATAGAATATTGGAGTCCAGACATGGACTCAATTTCACTAACTGTGGTTTTCCAATGAAATAACTCTCAATGAAAATGAATTGCTGATAAAGTGATAGATGGGAATGGAGGCCAAGTGCATGATCAATACTGTTTTTGATGAGCTGCACAACAACTTCAGACACTTTATTTTCCCTCTCTGTCTAAAATATAATATTTTCATTAATAAATAACATATATCGATTTTTGCCATTAATTAATTTTATTCGTTGTATAATTTTATTTTGATTGCATGGGGCATTACTAGTCCAGTACAGTACAGTAGTTTTAATTATACTACTGTATATTATTAATATATGATTACTAACTATTAAGCATTAATATATTATTAAATTAACTTTTATTATTATTAGTAGTAATCATATAAAATCACATTATAATTTAATAATTAATCATTTAGATACAATAAGGTTTCATTTGTTAAAATTAGTTAACAACATTAGTTACATGAACTAAGGGTTAACAATACTTCTACAACATTAATTTAATCCAGGTTAATCTCATTTTTAAAACATTTACTATTTACATTTTAACAACAAAGTTGTATCTGTTGACATTACTTAATGCGCTATATGAACTAATATGGAGATGATTTTTTTTTTATTATTATTAACGAACATATTGCACATTGTTAGTTTATGTTAGTTAATGCATTAACTACCTTTGACACATGAGACCTTATTGTAAATTGTTACCATAATTCGACTGGTTGGACAAGATACAACATACTGTACATTAAGAATAGTTTTGTTGTAATAAATGGTACTTTTATTAATATATATCTAATTTACATTTAGGTTATGATTTAGACATATTTATTAAACAAAATGTTTTATTTTAAAATATTTATATTTTATTTTAGTACTTAATACTGTAGTTTATGGAATACAATATAATAGTTTGTGGAGTCATTAAGGATCCAAGATCATTAATTGGAATTGATTCTAAGCCAAAATAATTAGATTCCTTAAGATTCTCATCCTACACATGGTAAACACAGTCATCTGGTAATCTATATCCATTAATAGCTGTAGGCAGATTCAACCAACACTGGCTTTTACAGAATGTTAAATGACTCAATAGGGACATCAAAAGTGCACCAACCAAAAGGAATGTTGAGAAAGCATGAGCAAAGCCAAATCGACAGAGAAACAGTTCATAATTAAAAACTACCACATGGGAAATCTGTGCAACCAGCCACCATAAACATATTCACAAGCACCTGTAATTATCCTACACTTACCAGTCAAACTCATAAGCAGCAGACTTCACCTACAGTAAACAGCTTTTTCATGGTCACAGTCAATCTCTTCACAGAAAACCACTTCTCTATGTGACAGAACTGAGAGTGTGTATCTGGTCTGTATCTCGCTGTGAGACTGATTTAATTTAATCCACCGTTTTTCATTCAGGCTTGGCTCTAGGACAGGAAATGAAAATAATCAGTCTGTAAAGGCGTATTTATAACTGATTTGTGAAAAAGCGAACGGTACAAACATTACTACTAATCTTTTTTTTTTTCTATAATAAATGTTCCTACTCAAACAATTTTTTTTTTCCAGAGAAGGTTAGGTAAATGTGTGTTTTGCAGACCTATTTTTGATTTTAATACCATCCAAATCAAATACGGCTGTGTTTTTCTTACACAACCCTTACACAACAAAAATGCCATACTCTGTTGCCTCCTCTGAGAAATCTAATCCCATCCTTATACCAACATCTGTGATTGCGCTATATAATTGCGCTTCTCATTTATTTTGACCTTCATCAAATACCATAAGCACAGCTAAACTTCTGGTTTGAAGTCCCAGTCGCATCCAAATCAATACATGACAGGACAGACTTCCTCTGTTAATAACAAACTCAAATGTCACTTAAAAAAAAATCTCATCCAGATAGTGCAAAGGAAGTCTTTGTTTTACAAGGAAGTCTCATTATATCTTATAGCACCTTTAATTCACCTTCTTTAGACAGTGTGTGACAGCTCACCCTCTTCTGCTCTCTGTACTGACCGCGCAGTCGCTCGTCAAGTCTGCATGCAGCTGCAGCCCACTGCGCAGCCAATCTGCGCATACGCCTCCTCATGAAGCTCAAAGATTCTTTGCCCGAGCCGACCCGCTCCAACAGTAGAGACAGATCTGAGCGGAAATATGCCTATAGAAAGAGATAAAGTTAGAGAAAACAGGCAAAGAAGTGTACAGATCAAATTTGTACCCATAAAAAGTAATAAGTGTGGATTATTTCACTGAAAAAACAAATATATTCATAAGTACTGTTATACTTTACAAGTACACTTTAGTATACTGTGCTTTTAAAAATAGTACTTATTATGGAAATAATATAGCCTACTTTAAAAGACGTGTGAACTGAACATAATATTTTCAGATGCAACTGCATGCTATAATTGCAATTAAATGAAAGTGTGCTATTTCAATTTATATTAAATGCAGTTATCTGATTACTGTTATTTTTTATTTTTTTGCATATGTAATTTTATAATTAATTTTATTGTCTTTGAAATATGGTTAAAGTATAATACCGAATGTACTGACAAGCATTTATAGTAAACTAAATAATACTTTAATGTCATTTCTATTGCAACCTGTATGCCATGTATTTAAATATATTTGTAATTACACATTTGTAATAATGAAGTTGCAATTTAGTGCATTTAAATATATTTATAAATATATATAAAAATGCAATACTGAATAACACACTACAATTAAAATTATAATCAAGTACTTTACATTAAGTGCACTTTTATTTCAATAATATTATGTTACAGTATGCTACTTTTTTAAATATACTTTTAATATTTGAAGTACACTACAAGTGGACATTCAATACAAATATGTGCACTTCTTTTCACAAGGGTACAGAGTAATATGTTGTTCTGCCAATCTAGAATATTGCTATTAAATTACTCGCTACTAAACTCTGAATTTCTTTTCGAATGTAAAACCTGTAAAATCCAGTGATTAGTTCTCAAAAGCTCAAAAGCAGTACTTAAACACAACCTAAATTAATGGACTGTAAGTGGTCTGTGGACATGGGGTTGAGGTTAATAAGGGTTTTGCAAATGAAAGAACTGTCATTTTAAAATAAGCGATTGTGGCGTATTTCTAAAAGAGTTCAGACACATACTGGTAATAGCTGTGTGGAATTTACAGAGGTAATTTTGCTAGGCAGGAAAATGCTACAGTATTTTATGCCTTAGGGGGAAAAAAAATTATAAAATTACATCTCATTTCAGTCTTAGCAGGGCTTAGAGACATTGTGAATAACAGCCAAACAGCTGGAACTCTCTCACTTGAAATAACACACTGTGATAGCTGATAGTAACTAACCAGGTGAGAACACACATACTGCTCACACAGTCCCTGTTCTAAAAACCTACTGAGCTGCCTTGCTTTCTACAGCCTACTAAGTCAGAATTCTGACTAAAATTAAACCTGATATGGAATGATAGGTAACAACTTGTGTGTTCTAGGATTGCCCTCCTGGTAAAAGATACCTGCAATACTGCACTCATTGGGTTTTGGAAAAGAGCCATGGGATCTTAGCCATAATCACACTTCACTAACTCCTACATCTCTCTGTTGCAATAAATTCATTGAAGTGATTATTGACTCTTTCAGGAACTCACCTGTCTTTTTGGCAGGCTGCTTGTTGTGGGGTGTCTGCTTTGATTCCTCCAGGCCAGTGGGGGGCAGAACCACTCGGCTTCACTAAGGTAGATGAGGAAAGAGCAGTCGGAGCCGTCTACTCCATAAAAGGAGTAGCAAGGGTCCGATGTCCACCTGGCTCTCATCCACTAGAAAATTAAGAGATGAGTAACAGTTAAAAGTTGTCACTAATTTGACATTTCACTGAGAGGACAGAGGTGTGATACCTGAACAGAGTGCAATGAGAACCATCAAATGAACAGTTTTCATTAATAACTTGCCTTTCAGTTTATAATCATGCAAGCCTCACATCACCAAGTACAATGCCAAGCATTGGATGGATTGTCTAAAGCAGTGGTGTCCACTCCTGCTCCTGGAAGGCCATAGTCAGAGCAGTGGAAACTTATTGTGTGGCATGATGAATCACGTTTCACTGTTTGGCAGTCTGATGGGTGAGTCTGGGTTTTTGACGTATGCCTGGAGAATGTTACCTGCCCATTGTACCAAATGCAAAGTTTGGAGGAGGAGGGATAATGTTATGGGGCTGTTTTTCAGGGGTTAGGCCCCTTACTTCCAGTGAAGGGAAATCTTGATGCTTCAGTATACAAAAACCCAAGATACACTGCACGAGTTTTGGCTGTCCCAGACGAAATATTGGCATCATTAATAATCGTGGCGATTTCTGTGATCGTGGCTCCTAATCGGTGGTCCTGTGTCGTATAGTGAGAGAGGTTCAAAGACGGCCATTGTCACAGTCTTATGACCAAAGCCAGCCTACTATAATTTTCTGACAGTGTCAGAAATTCAGCATGATCGCCGCACAGTGTGTTTGCTGCTACGACCCACGTTTACTGACCAGCTAATAAAAATGCGACATGAAATCAACGCGACATGGCGTTAAAACATAAAACTGCTTACCTCAAGCTCTTACCCTTTCCTCTTTCGCCGCTTACACTTTTTTCAGCACACATAAAAAGTACAACTGCCAAACATGATTCGTCATTCCCTTTTCGTTTAACGTGACGCACGTTACTATAGAAGAATAAAACGTAATTTAGTCAAACGATATTATAGGATTGCTATAGGATTGCTAAGATTCATATCAAACGTCAAACGATATTATAGGATTGCTAAAATTGTGCAGCCTGTAGAAAGAAGGCTTAAGACACAGCATACCAACTCCATATTAATGTCTATGCATTTAGAATGTGCAACAATCTCTCATAGTGTAATGGTCAGGTGTCCAATACTTTTGTCCATATAGTGGAATTCCCTGCACGGGAACCTTGACATTGTTCTACCAGTTGAGCATCAGGGCCTGATAGAGAGCATGGTGATCTTTAATGAAAAAGGTTGAGTCAGTTCAGGTCAAAGGGTCTTATATATGTGCCGAGTTCAGTCTTCACCTCAATGCCTCAGCAAACCTTTACAAGAGCATAGCAAACTGAACTCTTAAGTGCTTTCATACCCAGCTGATTAAAAAAAAAAAAAGTATATGCTTTGCAAGCAACGATTGGTTTGATTTAGCTGTTTTCAGGATTTGTTTGGACTGCTGAACAAACATTTGACCTTACAGAAACTCTCATCCATACAACTTCACATGGATGATGGATGGCGTCATACTTATTCGAATCAATCCAGACCTGAGTGACCGACTGAACAGAGTGTACAATTCTATCAGTCCTTTCACACCAAATATGAAGTAAAACACAAAATGTTTTGCATTTTTGTATGGTGGGATTTAATTAGTGAAGTTTAGCAGCAAAAACATCAGTAAATAAAGTCAAGTCAAGTCAAGTCAAGTTGAGCTTTATTGTCATTCTGCTGCATGTGGGGACATACAGAAGTGAGATAAAGTCCATAAACTCTAGTTGATGTATTATTTAATTATTGTTTCATAAAGTTTAGTGTTTACATTCATTTTGAGAAATATTGAAACTGTTATTGCTGGACACAGCTGCTGAAACATACCCCTTTATGGTTTCTTATCTGTATCTGCACATATTTTATGTGCTCATACATTTTAGTAGTAGTATAAGAGTAATAAATGTAAGTACAATGAATTGCCAAACAATTTTTTTGTTGTTGTGTCTCACCATGCAAAGGAGTTTTGTAAGGTAAGGTGAATGCAGCAAACAATTGCAATTCCGTGCACTGTATTTCAGCCCTAGAACCGGTTTCTTATTTGACTAATGAATTGCAATATAAGTTTTAATGAAAAGTGAATAAAAAGTGAAGGTAAAAACATGAATAATGCTTACAAAAGATTCCTTTTCAAAAAACAACAACAACAAAAAACGGTTTCAACAAAAATGTCAGGATGTGATGGTCTGCCTCCATAATATAGCAATACAGCACTCCGAGGCAGTTGTGAGATCTGCACTGTGTAAAATGCACTCAGCACAGATTTTCAGGCTTTTTTCTGATCTGCATAATTAATTTAGTGAATCAGGGGCTAAAGCAGCGCTGACAGCACACGCAAATAAACAGCTTTCAGTGGGAGCAATTCATTCTTAATAAATCCCCCCTGTATGCATTAACTACAATACAAATCATTAAATGCATCATAATTATCTTAAACTTTTGACAGGCCAAGATTTTGTTTCATAAAAACTCTCTTAATGCAATGGGGAAAATATGCAAATGTAAAATATGTGGTAGAAGAATGTCCATGTAGGTAAGTGTAAGTATGTGCAAAATAGAGACAGAAAAAGATTAATGAGGATAAACGGTGTGTCTCACACAGGGCAAAAGTGTGAATGATTGCTGAGTATTTATGTAAACGACTTGTTTACCACAGGTTACACATTAAGTTCACGAAGACTAAAGAGCTCATGAACTGCAATCATTTTATTTAATAAGTCATTTTCAGGCTTGTGCTTAAAAGCGTGAAATACAAAGACAACAGCAGATTTAAGTTGCCACCAAAAGCTCTGATATGGGATGTTCACCATAAAAAAAAATCTGTAGTATTTCTTTTACTTTTTTTGCATCTTTTTTTGTACTGATTATTCACACTGGAGTGAAAGGACCATAAGACTGCATCCAAAATCACTTCAGTCACCATGAATGCAACCCAGATTGCAGCTGATGTATCCAATATTCACAATACATTTGTCATTATTCTGCTAGAAATATAAACAATAAGCAACTCAGCGAACTCAATGTTTAATTAACTTTTTATTTGGTGTCTTAAAGGTAGAATGGGTGATTTTGTAGAAGCTAGCAATAGCAAGCTAGCTTTGAAAGCATGCATTCCACCCTCCACTCAGCGAACTCAATGTTTAATTAACTTTTTATTTGGTGTCTTAAAGGTAGAATGGGTGATTTTGTAGAGGCTAGCAATAGCAAGCTAGCTTTGAAAGCATGCATTCCACCCTCCCTGCAAAATCACTCTTCAAACCCACGCTTCTTCCAGAACATGAGTTAACCATTTATTTTACTTGTATTTATTGTTTAAAGCCTATTGGGGACATTTTGTGAATGCACTCTGAGTTTCTTGTGGCTTAAAGGCTGAGCACGTTTTGGTAAAGTGTCTGGGATGGTCTGATTCTAGAAAAAAAAGAGAGAGGACAAACTGTACTCAAACAAACAAAGGAAAGAGACATCATCTAAAAAAACAACAACAACAAAAAACAACAACATCATCAATCAATGAAACAGAGAAAAACAGATAGGTGGAGGCAAACACTGGCACCCAACAAATGGAATGTTTTCACACCTAAGGCAACCAAGAAATAAAAAGACCAGACATAAAGGAGTGTGAGAGAAATCTCTGTCAACTCACATCCACTTTACTAGCGCAATCCGGGTACCTGGGATCCTTCGGGACTTCGCACTGGCCTGTAACTCCATCTCGGCCTGTAGATGAAAAGGACAGGCAGTCACAGTCTGACAGCACTCTTCCACAGTACAGTAGCCTCAGTGTGGGATCCAAACGCTCTCGGTTTTAATGAGCCTTTGGGAGAGCCCTCTGTATCTTCTTCCATCTCCTCAACTTTATTTAAGCTTCCTTTATTAAGCATTATGAAAGCGGCTTCTTGCCCTCGTTCCTCTTAGTTGTCTGCATAATGCTTGCTCTGGGCTTTGTTAAGAGCTCTGTACTGCTTTGTGTTCAGTTGGGTAGAAAAAAGGAACATAAAATTGCAAACATCCCCTCGCCTTGATTAATAAACTCCCATCTCTCACTGGTAGCCGGTCCCAGTCAGCCTAATTAACGAAGAAAGAGGTTGTTCTTTGTACAACAGGCTATTTCAGATCCATCAAGCATGCTCACAGAGAAAGGAATTATGGGCTATTCTGCTTGATTATGAAAAGATACTAAGCAGCCGAAAAACACCCTTGAACTTTTCAATCGGAATACATCCAGTGACTCCATGTGTTCTGTACACACATGAAACATTGATTCACTCCCACATCCTGCACTTGTTTCTCCTTAAACTTTCAAGTTTATAAATGCCTATTGAAATCTCTTTTGTTTGCAGTTTCAGATATCTTTAAAAAACAAAAATACAGTGGTGGCCAAAATTATTAGAACACTAGTATTTTCACCAGCTAAATATGGTTTTAAGTTTAAGTTTTAAGTGTGGTGTTCAGTTATTATTGGTGCTTAATAATTAATAATCATTCTTATTAATATTAGTGTTGAAAACAGTTATTTTTTTTCCGCTGCTCAATAATTTGTCAACATTGATAATAATAGGAAAGTTTATTGAGCAGTAAATTAGCATATTATAATGATTTCTGAAGGATCATGTGACACTGAAGACTGGAGTAATGATGCGGAACATCCAGGTTTACAATCACAGAAATAAATTATATTTTAAAATATTTTCATTAACACTTTATTTTAAGGTCCAGTTCTTGCTATTAACAGTCCATTAGCTATGACTTTTGCCTCAATTAACTCCTAATTTGCTGCTTATTAATAGTTAGTACGTTAGATGTTAAGTTTAGGTATTGGGTAAGATTAGGGATGTAGAATATGGTCATGCAGAATATGTGCTTTATAAGTACTAATAAACAGCCAATATATTAATAATAGGCATGCTATTAAGTAACTAGTTAATAGTGAGAATTGGTGCCTATACTAAATCATTACCATATATTCAAATCGAAAACATTTCTAATAACACTTCACAATATTACCAATTATAGTACAGTATTTTTTATTTAAAAAATGCATAGTAACACATCGAGAGACCCATTTTCACTATTAACTGGTTTCTTATTAGCATGCTTATCACTAGCATATTGGGTGTTCATTAGTACTGGTAAAGCACATATTAATGCCTTATTCTTTATAACCATATCTTAGATCCCTTAACCCTACCCCATACCTAAACTGAACAACTACCAAACTAACTGTTCATAAGCAGCAAATTAGAAGTTTATTGAGGCAAAAGTTGTAGTTATAGTTAGTTAATAGTGAGAACTTGCCCCCAAACTAAAGTGTGACCAAATACATTTTTATTGTCTGGGATTGTGTCACGTTGTCATATTTTCACATTCATTGTGAACAGGCACAGTCACTGGAAACTAAGAACATGATGTTTGACTTTAGATCAAAAGAACCTGTAATTAGAAAAGTCCAAAAAGTCATTAAAACCCCTTTTCAATAGAACACAAAGTGCTCTTTTTCAACATAAAAGTTCTCATAAAGTAAGCTGAGTTTGAGCAGACTCCTTAAGCATTCTGCTCAAATGGCAGAGCAGAAGTAAGAATTCTGTTTTTCTTACATTAATAGTTTAAATAAACCTCCCACACAGCTTGCACATATGCTCGCTAAAAACCTGCTGGAATTCCACCAAACTCTGTTGGCAAACTTTAGAGATATCAAACCCTACAGAGGCGCTCGCTGTACAAATAGCGGCAAGAGATGATTGGCATTATAGCGATCGAGTCCAATCAAGGTGCATTAAATAATAAAGACTGAATGTGCTGTCCTGAAAAAAATGGAACCGAGCCCAGACCTCTTCATGTCTAATTTTAAACAGCGCATTTTAATGATTTTGGCTCACTAAGAGACTAAAATGGGAGTTTTTGGTGAGTTATTGAATCTTGTGTGTTATGTGTAGCTCTTCCAGGACCTAACAGACTTAATTATACTTAATTTAAGTTTAGACACAATGAAACACTTGTTAGTAAATTCTAAATTATGGAAGAATTGGGAAATATAAAATACATGTGGCAATCATAGCTCAGATCATTTAAGCTTTTTAACTGGAGATTTAGGTATCTTGGCAAATAGTTTGAAATGCTGTTTGAAATATCACTGATCAATCTCTTCAGAAACTCAAGAGGAGAGTAATATGAGACCTTTATTTACTCTGTAAAAAAGCAGGATGCTTAAGTATTGGTCTCCAATTGTCTTCCATTTAATGTGATTGCTATCTGATTATATCTAAATCCTACAATATCCTTCGCAACAAGGAAATGTTCAATCCTTGCCACCCAAACATAAATGATAGATTCACCTCTGGCGGGGATGTTAGTCTTCTTCAGAATCTGCTCCATTCGTATAGCCATGTCAGACACATTCTGGGCGATGGCCTGGATTCGTTCCACCAGACCCACCGGCTGGAATCTGGAAAAGTGAACAGGACTAAGAGAGAGAAATGATGTGCGGCAACAGGGCTATTAGTTTGTTAGGGCTAAAGAAATAGTTCACCCCAAATGAGGCTGGGCTACTTTAATGATACTCTTCTGTTTTTAGGAAAGAATCAGATCAGACATTTCACCTAACATCTCATTTTGTGTTCCACAGAAGAAAATAAGAGTTTAGAACAACACGAGGATGAGAAAAGATGGTTTTAAATATGCAATATGGAAATGGAGCAAACCTTACACTACCTGTGCCTAATGGATATGAGAAAGTATTAATGGATGATTGTGTGTGTCTAATTTAAATTAAAATGCACCTACACATACTACAGCCGTGTGAAGGAACAAGAGTCTGAAGTGCCTCTAGTGAAGCAAGACTTTCTATTTATTGTTGAACTGAATTCAAACATCCTTGAATGGTACGATTACCCATCGGACATGCTAATTGTTTGAAATATGCTTCAAGCATGAAATAGCGATGCTTCTGCACTGACACCATTCACACAGATAGATAATGAAAATGACATGCGGCATGTTTAGGCTTGGCCCTGAGAGAAAAACATGGTACAGCAATTAAGTCGGTAGCAACTTAATTCCCTTGATGTTGACAGCATAGAAATGATCTAAACAATTAAAAAGCTGGGTTAAAATGAAAGGAAACATTGCATCATTTAATTGTCCCGGGGGTTGACTGCACAGATTGCACTTTAGTTTTGCTATTTAAAGGTAACATTAAAACAGCTTTGGAAAGTTTTAACCATGTGTTCAATATTTTCAAATGCTTTGTGTCATTATGTATTGATTATAAGAATAATATTAAGCTGTTAATGTAAAAATAATCCACAAAAAGTGTGAAACAATTATAAAACGTTTCAACATTTAAAGGTAGGGTTTGAAAGCATAAGATCGCACCCTCCCTGCAAATCACTCTCCAAAGCCACGCCTCCTCTAAATCACATGAACGTGCTCCGGCAGGGCAGAGGCTAACAGCGAAATGATGAGAGACGGCGTTGGTGGAGGACTGAATGCAACGCTGTCAGATTAACTCATATCTCATTCACTGGTGAGAAAACATTACAGTACAAATTGCATAATATTACAATAATAACACCTTCCATTCTTGCTCGGTCTGCAATAGCGTAATGAATGTGCTGATGACGTACTGTAGCATGTCTGCGCAAGATATGCAAATACATACGATGACAGGCAGCTAGGACAGCCTATCGTAGCCCTCAGACCGAGGGATATGATTGGACGAACATTTTATGGTCCTACGCCTTCCACAGATTATATAAATACACATAAATATATTTAGACCACTTAAGCGACTTTAAAACAGCACAACAACACTGTTTTTTAACCAAATCACCTACCCTCCCTTTAAGTATAAACTATGTATGCTATTTTGTATACAAATGTATGAATGTCCCACAGTTAGTGATGGGATACACAGTAATGCTACAGAAGAATCACCTATCCCTGAGTTTGAACACTTGAGCTTCTAGCTCAGATCTTTAACCATTATGCTTCAATGTCCCATAATGCTGAAAGACAAGGCTGAAATGAGCCTTAACAGAATTGCAGGTACTGGTTGAGTACTTCAGTACTCAAGTATTTAGAAGTGACAGCAGTTGAACAACTGTTGTACAGCAATAATGGCACAATTATGTGCAATACAGCATGCTGAAATTGTTTTCAGTATTTTAGCACAATTACCCAATAGTCAATTTGCTAATATCTGAAAGTCAGTTTGCTCATATTTGAATACAAAAATGTGCAAGACTGTTGATAGACACTGAAAATGGCCAAATGACAATAGAATTGCATTTGCATTTACAACCAATAAAAGATCCAAATATTTGCCCATATTAGCGCTAAAAAAATACAAAACGACAGAATGATCAAATAATCAAAAATGTTCAAGTTCAGATGTTCAGTACTCAAGTAAAGATTAGATGATAGATAGATAGATAGATAGATAGATAGATAGATGAGAGAACGTGATCTTGTTCTCCAGCATGATTTGAGAATAATCCAAAGAACATCTTGTGTTTCAATGGAAGCATCTGACTGTATATACACATAGGCTACCTGAGTTCACATGGTTATGCATTTGCTTATTTAATTTGAAATTTGAAAAATTCAAGTAGTTTACTATTTCTAGTTTACTTTATTTTACTTTTTCATTGCACTATAACTTTTGCTATTTTAAATGTGCAAAATCCTAAAACTTAGTTTGTTTTCAAGTAAAAACAAAACAAAAACAGTCACTGTTGTCTCTGTACCCACTGGACTTTTCAAGCTTTGTACAATTCTAGTTATTTTTGACTATATTTTTCTCTTGCATCTGAAAGTATTTCAATAAAAACTCAATAGGTTTTATTTTAGGTATCTCAAGAGACTTTAAAAATCTCTTTCAGAGAGACAGGGGAATGTCTTTCAGCAAGTTTAAGGAATGCATTGTCATCTTTGTTTCACACCAAGAGCTTGATTTCTTTATAATGCAGCTCACATGAACCACCTGCAACCTCGTGCCCTGCAGTTACATCAACAACATGCTGAAGCAAACAGCCTCCCTCTGTGAGCAACTCTGTCACTCCCAATAAATGTCACCTCCACACGGCACAAAGCTGAACACTCAGAAAAACACACCATCTGAACCCTGACCTTTCTGACTTCACACCCAAAGACAATAAAGTGTTCAGGCGGACCTGTCATATGCATGTTTGACTCCCGCATTCTCTGCACTTCTGAGATGTCTTTTTTGAGATACTGTCAGAGCTTTTTACCTCCTGTGGTGTTTCATCCACACCAATCAAATCAGCTTTAGAAAGAACGTCAGTGGTGATTTTTCAGTCCAACAGACATTTCAAAAACACAAGTTCTAAGGCTTTGTTGATACTACACCCAATTCAATCTGTACTGTATTTCAAACCCGATCATTACGACTAACTTTCACATTTCGTAAGTGTTGACATTGGAGCCGTTTGTTCAGACGGTGTAGTCACTATCCGTTATATCTATATCGGTTACTGTTATAATTACTTTGGCAACAATATGATGCCCAGAAACTTACTTCTGCAACAACACAAAGTACAGCGCTCTTGAGGCATTGCTGTATTTTACACCTTCATGAACATGTCCACTCATACACTATTTACTATATAGCAAATGGCACATAGTTCACTACATGGTGAAAGAGTGAACAAAAATGAGAAACCCTAACCCTAAAAAAACATCTACTCAGTATCTGATCTTATATCATTCAGATTGAGACAGATGTCCAAAAACCTATTTTTAATTGGATTTTAACCATACTGTTGTTCTTAATAACTCATTTCATCTGGTTTCATGCTGTTCAGTCTACAAAACTTGAAGTTAAGTCAGATATGGCTACAGATTCTGGCTACTAAAATTGTTATATCGACTCCCTTACATTTCACGCTCAACTCAACTTTATTTTACAGTAACTGAAGTCACAACTAACAACCTAATTGTAAAAGAAGGCTCTTTGCATTGTCACATAACTAAAAAGCAATGGGCCTCATTCATGAAACATTCGTAAATATAGGAGTAAATTCTGAGTAATTTGCGCGTAAAACGGACCTTCCCGAAAACTCTCCTCCGAATTCACAAACACTTCGTACACATCAGATTTGATAGTTAAACATGTGTATGTTAATGAATTCTAATCATTCGTAAATAGGGCACTCGTGCACGCTCATTCACAATTAGCATAATCCCCGCCTATGAATTACAGCTAGCAAATTGCTTGTCCAGGAACGCAGTGGAATATTCTGGTCTACTTTCTCAGGTTTGGCTCCAGTATATTGCATAAATGCAAAAAAGACTAATAGGCCATATGCCTAACAATAAATATTCAATAACGTGTGTCCACCAGAGCGGCATATCCACGGCAGTAATGTGATATCCACGGCAGTAATGTATTACTAGCATCTCATTTTGAAGAATATTACTGAATATAAAAATGCAGTAACCAGCAATATTAACTTCTATATTGTTGTTCAGTTGTTGTACAAGTGGTATGATTGGTCGGTGTAGTATTTGTTCCGCCCCTCCTCCATTGATTGGACGGCTGGGTAAAATTTGACAGTGACAAGAGCTGCGTTTTACCCAGAGCTAAACAGTTTATCAACTCTCAGCTACAAAAAAAATAAAAAAATCAGGCCCAACGGCCTTTAAAATATTATAATGGCAGTGCATCAAATTCAGTGTCATCAGTTTCCCTAAATGAACACAGAACGTTTTACGCACCATTTACACGTGGTAGGGAGCAGGTGTAAATTTATTTCCTACCAACTAACATTTTGAAAATATTAACATTTTCATGAATTCGAATGTTTACGTCAGAACGGCTTTACGAACGATTTACACAAAAATTAGTTCTGCTCGTGTTTCATGAATGAGGCCCATTGTGTGTATATTTGCGATGCTAATATACTTGTCCTGACCAAACCAAAACTGTAACATATACTCCTTTAATGGAAAATTACTAGTACATTTCCGTTTAGAAATCATGTGTGAACAGGACCTTGTGAAAAATACCAATAAATGAGTTATGGCAATTTTTCAGGATTAGAAGTTGTAACATTACCAGCAAATTTCCGTTATAATGAACGAAACATTAGATTACTGGTATATGAGTATGTACTGTAATAACACACTCCTTGCTACAAAGACTCAATGAGTTAACACAAATGTTTACTTGCAAATGCACCACAAATCATATTGCACTATACGCTTTTTACCCTAAAATACCCCTTTTGCACAATAACATTTACAGTATTTATGTAAAGAACTTGTATAGCTTGTTTTAGATTATGCGTATGTATAGTCAACTATTTATAGTATATGTATAGTTAGATTACCGCTTCAGTAAGTTAGCTATGTACAAGTTCAAAACTGTTTCTTACTTCTGTTGTTTTATGTTCATATGTTTAATTATGTAGCACTGTAGTCCTGCGAGACATGAAATTTCGTTCCACTCTATGTTCACACATGTAGCGAAACGATAATAAAACTCGACTTGAACTGATGTAAGAAATCTGCTTTGGGACAATTATATGGTTTTGAAAGTGATGACGCGATTACGCCACACTGTTTACAGTAATAATTTAAAGTTATTTTAACGAGTTCGTTTGCCCATAAAATCTTAAGGAAATTGTGTGTAAACTTATTTGGCTTGCTGTCCACTGATGAGGGGCTCGATGAAGCAGCTTCAACTCGAGCTCTGATCCACCCCCAGGGACTTGGTATAGGATGATTACGAAGGGCAAGGTACCTAAGATGAAGGTGGAGTTTTGGGGAGGTGGAGGGATGCTGGAACAGCTGAGAGTGGAGAGAGGTAAGCAGCTGCTTATATACTCTGGCTGTTGATTGAAAGATTAGATGGGCTTGCTCCTCCCTAACTTACGTTAAAGAACTTAATTTAATGAGTTCGTTTGCCCATAAAATCTTAAGGAAATTGTGTGTAAACTTATTTGGCTTGCTGTCCACTGATGAGGGGCTCGATGAAGCAGCTTCAACTCGAGCTCTGATACACCCCCCAAAAGTGCAGAAATAAATTTGGGACAGCAAGTCGAGTTTAGTGAGATCAACATGTCTGAGGGTTTAAGTATACGGGATACCCAAATACTTGAAGAATAATGGTGATACCCCCCAAAAGGAGTGAAATTTAAGCTATACTAATGATGGTGGTGGGAGAGCCGCGCTTTGGAACTTTAATTAAGGAGCATCTTACTGTTGCAGTGCTGCAGCAGTGACTTTCCTGGAATTACTCCTGTGGGAGTATCTCAGGACTGGAGGTTTGAGAGCGTAGCTGGAGTACACCCCACTGCACATCCCTGCCATGGAGCCCTATGAAGTAAAAATACCAAGGGGCCCCTAGATGTCATGGATGGGGCAGGGTGCCCTCGGCCCTGAAGGGAAACGGGCCACGGACGTCCAAAGCGAACTGCGCCCGAACAGAAAGCTCACACTGCGATTCGACCGGGAGCGCTCCCGCGCATTTGAAGGAGAGAGCTCCCTATAGGTATCAAAGGAGATCTCAATCGCAATCAAACGGGAGAGCCCACACTGTGATTCGAACGGGAGAGCCTGGACGGCATCTGGACGGGGAGCCCACACGGCGATTCGAATGGGAGAGCCCACTCCAGGAGTGGTAGCTCACGCCGATTCGAAAAGGGGGAGCTCTCACTGCATCCAGATGAATAGGAGCCCTGCGGGACCATGTAAACAGGAATGCGCGGAATAATAGGGGGGGAAGCGGTCCGGACTCACAAAGATGCTAGTGTTTGGTGCGCTTGTCTAATGTGAGGCTGAAGTAGCGAGAGTTAGCAGGTGGGAAATTAAAGGCCGCATGGCATAATTTAGGTGGCCTAGGAGCGAAAGCGAATCCTGCTTGCTGCAATGGTTAGAATCTAACAAGTTTGATGCGATTGTGACAATGCAATCTATTTTTTCTTTGGGGAGAGAGGCTTGGAGTTTGACGGAGTCAAGGAGGATACCGAGAAATTCCAAGGATGTAGAAGGGCCCTCGGTTTTTTCGGGAGAGAGGGGAACTCCTAGTTTTGAAAACACTGATTGGATGACGGTTAGGTGTTTGGCTGCAGGGGAATGACTTGGAGAAATGACGAGGAAATCGTCGAGGAGATGGATGAGGTATGGGATGGCATAATTGTTTTGTAAAATCCAGCAGAGCGCTTCAGAAAGCATATAAAACATTTTTGGACTGCTTTTACAGCCAAAACTAAGACGGACTGCGAAGTAGAATTTCTCGTTCCAACGGATGCCAAACAGATGCCAGAAATCTGGGTGAATGGGCATGACTTTAAAAGCAGATGTTATGTCGACTTTTATTGCCAGGCTCCTGGGTTGGAGTCTGCATCCGGAGCCAATGTTCTGAATTTCTGAAAAAGAAGACAAGATAAAGCGTCAGCGATTTCATTTTGATGACCAGGAATGTGTTCCGCTTTAATGACAAATTGGTGACAGGCAGAGATCCAAATTAGACATCTAAGAAAGGGCATGATTTTTGGAGCGCTAGAACGGCCTTTGTTGATGCAGTGGACGGTGGCAGAATTATCACAGTGAAAAAGGATGTTTTTCGTTGACCATTCGGAGCCCCATAGATAGGCTGCTACTACTATGGGGGATAGCTCAAAAAGGGCAGTTGATTTGGCGGTTTGGCTTGTGGC